AAAAAAAAAAAAAAAAAAAAAAGTAAGATCATGATCTCGCGAGAGAGAGAGAAATTAACACGTGTTAATTTGCTGCAACCACGACGGTAACGTACCTGTTGGATCGTTATGCCATTTCGTAATACCTCATAGCGAAATATTTTAAGATACAATTGGCATACCAATTTGAATTCCGCTAGTTTTTTTATTTCTCTGTTTTTCTCGAATTCAATTGAGCTCCTTCTTTATCTTTTCCTTTGCCTAACACGCCCATCGACCGCTCATTGTACTCTTGCCTCGCTCTCGAGCAACCAAAATTCGTATGGTTTTCATTGCTAAAAATATCAATTTTCTAAAGGAAATTAATAATTTGTTACAAATATTCGAGAGACGTAGTTGCGTCGACATATTTATTATGATGTGTATGTATGTTACGTTTGGCAGAATATCCTATATCATATCGAAGGGAAGAAAAAGCAAATTATCAAGTAAAACAAAACATATTAAGATTATTTCGAACGTTGATTATTCGCGATGGAAATAAATATGTTGAGAGAAAATTACATGCAGAAAGTCAAGACAAAAAAAAAAAAAAAAAAAGATAGTTTTGTTAAAAATCAAGTGATAAGAGCATCAACATACATACATACATACAGACATGTTGTGTGTATATAGACAATTAAAATATTTACATATATATATATATATAGACAATTAAAACATTTTCGATGAGCATGGCAAGGTATAATATTGCTGTGAATGACGGCGCAAAAGGGCGTCTTAATATGTAAAAATTTCTTAATAATAAATTACATTTGACTCGGCATATTCGATATCAATTATCAGGTAACTTCAATGAATTTTGACAAGGTTTCCTCTGCCTTTCAGGGGCCACCAGGATTAGACGGCATGAAGGTGAGCAATCCTCGGGGAGACCCGTTTAATCATACGTTATATTTATGACTTTTGGATCCTCGTTCACTACGCTCGCACTACGATTTCATCATTCAGGCATAGATTAAGCTGGTTACAAATTTAACGGTATCGCTTCAACGTAATCACACAGACTGTTATGTATTCGTTATGTTCTCTTCATACTTACAGGGTGCACAGGGGGAACCAGGCACAAAGGGAGAAAGAGGGGATCCTGGCCTACCTGTAAGTATATCTTTCATTCTAATCGGTTATTTCTAAAATTTCTAAATAATTCTACTTCTACTAACTTGTTAACAATAACGGATTCGCTGAATCGCTGTCGCGTGAAATCTAAACCGTTCGATACCGATACCGATTCCGATTCCGTTTGTGACGTTCAGCGTGAATCATACTATATCTATCCAACTATTTAACCGTATCGAGCGATATTTCATCCGGCTGAAACTCGATTACACTGTCGTCGAGACACCAACAGACACATTCTGTTTATCCCCAGGGTACCGATGGAATTCCTGGCGCGGAGGTACAGTGGCATTCGATTATCGCTCGCCCCTCGGTGTGACTGCGACACAGTCTAACCAGCCCGGGGTAACGACGATACATCTGCCTGATCTACCCCGGGGACTGCCCCAAAATTCGTCTCTTTTACTTCTTTTGCACGAAAAAAGGAGGGGGCTGAGATTAAGTTTTGCGCCTTTCTCCCTCTTTACACCGACGATAATCTGCACGATTTTTCATTATCCTTCCGATTTGATACGATATACATATACTTGCCACTGGCAAGGTCGCGTGACGTTATTACTTCGAAATTCCATGGTTTGATAAAGAAAAAAAGAAACTAAATTTAATCATTTCATATCGTGTTGAAGACTTGCTTCGATCGAATTTCAAGTTAGAGCAATTTAGAAAAGAAAAGAAACAGGGTGTCAGAAAATATGGATATAAATATGTGGAATTAATAGTCAGAGAATTATTTGTTAAACAGCCAAAACAAGTATTCTTTATCTGTCTGCAAATTACAGATTGCAATATTTTCTGAAACATCGTTATCGAGGTATATTACGAGTAATTATTAACTTATTCCTCAAAATTAATGGCCATCGATTTATTTTTTTCAATGCAAAGTAATCAATAAGATCGTCATGAATGTGCGAATACTTGAAATTTTAGGATTCACAGAATTCGTAGGATATCGAGTAGAATTGAATCAGTTGAGAGTAAACTATTCCTAAGATTTAATCTCGAAGAGAGGGAGAAGCGCACAATCCTCTCCGTTTTAATACCCAGATTCTAAAAGGGTATACACAAACTGAAAGAGCAAACTAACCAATACCAAGTTGTAGCGTAAACGGGAAAAACGTAAAAACTGTTGAGAAAGTTGTAGCTTACATTGCTTGCATTTTCCTTCAATTTTTCGTTCATGCATTTGTGATCGTAGTCACATGTTATGCCTTTGAAAGCAAGTTTCGCATAGAGACGTTTGATAACAAAGAGAAAAACGTTCTTTTCCGCAATACGTATCGTGCATGTAGAAAAGAAACGAAGAAAGGCACGACCGTCACTTAACGAATAAATTCTTTGACGTACCAATTCCAGGGACCGAAGGGAGAGAAAGGTGCTAAAGGCGAATCTGTGAGTATTGATGAAATTCGACTATCAGTTTTAAATAATTGGACAAGGACAAATTCGTAGCTTGGTGAGCGAATAAAGCTCATAAACGACAGTTTAACGACAGACGTTAGCCGTCTGGATGGACAAGCGATCTCTCGTTCCAGATTGAAAAATTTTCAATTCGGAAGTTTTCATTACTAATAATCTCATTCATATTATACTTGTGTTATCATTGTCATCATTACCAGTAATATCATGGTCATAAATGTTCACTACTAAGACTAATTACCATTTGTATTATGATATTTAGTTAATGTTACTAAATCCAAGTGTGTGATCGTTCGAAAATTATGCTATAGAAGTGCGCCAACATTTAACATTCGCTAACTAGTTCTACTGAAATGTTCATAGCATAAAATTGACCTTTAATACAATTGATCTTTAATTAGAAATAATATGAGATTCCGAATACCGAATTCAGGGATGATTTACCTATGCATAACGCATGCAACAGAAACACAAAGTATTTCTGCATTTTCGTATATCTTCGTATTGTACTTTTCTACGTGTCCTATTACATATCACAACCCTTTGAAAACGGGTTCGTCGAATTCGCGAGAGAACAAATTTTACATTTCTTTCTTCAGTGATGCATCTTTTTACATACTACGTATGCTGCCACCAGCGTATAATGAAAGCGTGACTACATACTCGCTGATTGTTAATAACATCCTTAGAAATCCAGTAACAATTAATAATGGTGCGAACTTTGTACGTTCGAAAAAAAGAAAAAAAGAAAAAAAAAAAGAAAGAAAGAACAAGTCGAAACAATTGAAAGTACACGGTTTCAAGTTTAAGACAGAGAATATTCTCAATGCCTTTTTCTTGAACATTGATGCTCAATTGCGTATTCTGCACAATCAATCGAATACTACTATGCATAAAGAGATTCTTTTTTTGTATGCCTGGCCTTTTTTGCACGTCCGCGAAAATATCTGCCTGTACGCCATTTAGACGTTGAAACATTTTTACGTATGAATACAGGGACCACCGGGGAAACGCGGTAGGAAAGGCGACAAAGGTAACAAAGGAGATCAGGGTGTACCCGGGCTAGATGCTCCATGTCCATTAGGGGCCGACGGACTTCCGCTAGCAGGATGCGGTTGGAGACCACCCCAGGTATCTCACATTTTCCCTATTCATTTCAATTAATTCCTGTCGGCTCGAACAAGCCCGAAATAGACGACTTCCTGTTACGTACTTTCTCACGTTTTTTTTTTTTTTTTTTTTTTT